GTCTCTGGAAGGGGAGGGGAAGGGTTTCACAATTGAGAGATGAAAAAGACAAACAAAAGCTCCACACAAAGTAGCAATAGGACTTCACATCCGGAAGACCAAAACAATCTAGACTTTTTAGCCTTATTAGTGGGTAGCCCACAGATTAAACAGTTGAGAAACCTGAATTTGGGTCAGATTACTGTCTACCTCTCTTGACTTGTCTCCTTGTATGTAAAAAGTGAAGAAAAATATTATTTGCTCTCACTACCACAGAGTTTTCAAATGAAGTGATAAAGTATGTGGAAACTTTTTGAAAGCTCTAAAATTACATTCTCAGCATTTACAACAGTGCCTAAGTAGAAGCTTATTTTGTTTACCAAATTCTTATGTAGCACTTGGAAACTGCATGGTGCAAATGGCTGCTATCCAAAATGCTGGCAGTTTGGCTCTACCCAGATACGCCTCAGAAAAAAAGCTTGGTGTTCTACTTCCAAAATTAATGGTGCACAGATCTACTCTGACACACCTGGGGTCTCCATGAGTCAGAGTTGACTTGTTGACAACTGTTTATATAGCACTTAAGGCATCCTAGTGCATTCCTGAGAACTTTTCATGTATTTGCTGATTTAATCCTTGCAGGAATCCTGTGAGGCAGACATTACTACTAATCTCTTTTTGCAGGTAAGGTTGCAGAGATCTTACACAGTAGTTCGTAAGTGGCAGAACTGGATACCACGCAGACTGTCCAGTTCTAGAATCTGTTCTGTTGAGCTCTCTGGCCTCATCAAAGGCAGTTCCCTTCATGTTAGGGAACTGAACCTTGGTCTCTGGCTGCACAGGTGAAGATAGTCACCAATGTCAACCAATGAATTAATAGTCAAGTGAACGAAGCACTTTGCAAATATGATTTATCATTTTAATCATTTATTGGTTTTGGCTCATAACATGTTTTCATGTTTTTCTCTTTTCTCTCATGTTTACTTTCCTACCTTATTTCTGTCTCATTCCTAGAATAGTCAAATCACTTAACATTTCACTTTCATAATTATTATTGCTACTATACTGCATCTTCCCTCCTGGTGACCTCCCTGGTTAAAAGCTTTCAGTGATTGTGTATTTGCTTGCATTCTCCAGCCATGATAAGGACTTGAATGTTATGTAACAGGCTCATGGTGACTTATTGACAAATCAGCTTTGGAAGGGAAAAAAAAGTTTGTACTGGCATTGCCCCAATTAATGCTTTAAACGACTCTGATTTCTTAAAGCTTTCCCTTTTATTACTCATTACCCAGCCCTCATGTGTGCTGGGAAGTGGAAGACGTTTTTTAGGAGAGCCAGTTCATGGTCTTAGTAGTGTTGGCCTATTTCCTAAAACCATACACTAGGACAGTTAGCTACATTATTGGTGTTTGAGAAACTTTCTTTGTAAGTGCACTTTCTATGTGTTGTTCACTGTTAAGAAAAAGCCCCTGCATGTCTTTTCTCCCCAATTGCTGCTATCTTTGAAATATTCTTTGCATACCTACAGTTCTGGAAAGCTTTCACATTTTCTCTATACTTTCAAGATCTGTTTTTCCTGAAGGGGGGGAAAAAATCTCTGAACTTTTATTCCATTGCTAAATAAATTTCATTCTGGAGATACTAGTAGAGAGACCTAGAGAGATAGTTTTAGTTTAAAAAATTATTATTAAATAGCAGGACTATGTATTTGATAACATATTCTTGATTACTGTTATTAACATCTGCATTGTGTTTATTCTGATCTCTGTCTAGAGGCATAGGATTTAGAGATCCTTTATTAACCTAACTACTTAATATGAGTTCCTAATGATAGAGGGCAGTGGATTCATGACTCACCCTCTCAATACTTTGAGACAGTGCATATGCAAATACTAACTGAGAAAGGAACATACTTTGCTTCTAAGATTACTGACTGGTGCAGGGGTGGATTAACTTGTTATATGTGTTTTGTTCTCTCTTTTTTATACAACTAGACTATATATTGGGGCACAGTGACTCGATACAAAAAGCACTGGACTACCTGCCAGCTGCTCCAAGGGAGCATGAAGATTTAAAGCCTCAGAAACATTCTGGGTCGCTATGAGTCGGAACCGACTCCGGGGCACTTAACAACAAGACTACATATAGAAAATAAAGGTTTAGTCTGCCTAAATACACAGAGTATATTTTTGCTTGAAGGAACAAAAATAGAGGTTTAATTAAGAAGTTTTGACTTTTTGTCTGCTACACATCCAGTGCAATTGAGTTGATTCCAACTAATAAGTCACCTACAGAACAGGGAGGGGTTTCCAAAGTTATAAATCTTTATGGAAGCAGACTGCTACATCTTTCTCCCATGGAGTGGCTGGTGGGTTTGAACCACTGACATGTCAGTTATCAGCGGAGTGCTTTAGCCACTGTGCCATAAGCATTCATTTTTTTTACCTGCTAAATGGGACTAATAACACCTGCCTTACATAAAGGGAAGATGAACGAAGATAACAAAAGTACCAGCAAAATATTAGCCATTACTCAATGTAGTTGAATCAGAATTAGGCAGTTTGCAGTCTCTTGAAGGAGATAGTGCAAATATGGATAATGCAAATGTGGTTAGTGCAAGGGGTTTGAAGTCAGAGAGACCTGGGTTGGTGTCCTTTGCTCATCATCTGTAAATTGGATATATTTATATAGATTATAATATAGTTATGAGGACTGTGTAACGTAATATATACATAAAGTGCATAGCATAGCTGAGTACCTAACAAAGTTATAAAATCTATATGTGTATGAATTAGTTATAGAATTAACTGTCTATGTATGTGAATTAGTTTTAATCTCAATTAGTAGAAGCATATAGAAAACTGTCTGATCAGCAACAGAGTATAGAATGAAACATAAATTTTTAGATTATTGGTAGATAGATAGAATGATCAGAATTTTTTAGATATCAGTCTGATAAGTTCTCATGGAGGTGAATATTCATAACAGGAAGTGACATCATTTAGAAGAGAGAGCACTTCTCATGAGTGTGAGAAAAGATGTGTGGTTGTAGGAGGAAAAAGTAGAGACCTGATTGCTAAATAATAACTGCCAGATAGGGTTGTTGTTGATAAGTGCTATCGAGTCGATTCTGACCCATAGTGACCCTGTATAGGGTTTCCAAGGAGCAGCTGGTGAGCTTGAACCGCCGACCTTGCAGTTCAAACAGCTTTGTAGTCTGGCGCATTAACCCACAGCGCCACACCAGGACTCCGCCAGATAGTGTGGGGAGTTTAAGTCTTACCCTGAATTCCTGCCCACTTTCATTTAACTATCACCGTTAAGGCCTTAGCGTGCCTCCTGAGCACGTTTCCAATTATCCTTCCAACTTCAGATTCAGAAAGTTAACATATAATTTATTCCCAGTAGTTTAATAAAAACATTTTTAAGGTTGCCATTGAGTCAGTTTGACTGAGGCCACCCCTTGTGTTCAGGCATACAAAGTGTATTCCAAGGGTTTTCAATGGCTGTGGTGTTTCAGAAATACATCATCAGGTCTTTATTCCAAGGCGTGTTTGGGTGGAGTAGAACCGCCAACTTTTCTGTTACTGGCCTAGTGCTTAATTGTGTGTGCTACCAGGGACTCCTGATAGCTTTTTAAAATTGTTGTTAAGTGCTGTGGAGTTGGTTTCAACCCATAACAACCCTGTATAGGGTTTCTGAGGTTGTAAGTCTTTGCGGGGGGAGTAGGAAGCCTCATCTTTCTCCCATGGAGCAGCTGGTGGGCTCAAACTGCTGACCTTGTAGTTTGCAGTCCAGTGCTGATCCTACAGAGCTCCCTCCTGGTAGCTTTTAAAGAAACATAAATAAGGACTGAAAAATAACTTGGAATAAGCTGATCCTCCTTCCTTTACCGTTCTTTCTGTGCCTTACCTTGCATTTGTCAGCCTACTACTTTGATGTTTCTATTTATCTTGCTTCTTCTTCACCTGTGTTGCTATTAATGATGATTATACCAGTAAAATAAAGTTCATCTTGTTTTTCATAGACCAGGCACTGTCCTAAACATATTTCATTGGTTATCTCAGTTAGACCCGGACAACAACCCATTCATTAAAAGCTATTACTATTACCATTTTTTAGATGAAGAAATTTAGTCTTGCACAGGTGAAATCCCTCAATCATTGTTAGACAAATTGTGAGATTTGAATTTAAAACCCTGAAGGTTGAAATCTTGAAGATAACTGAAGTAACAAAAAGCAATAGAACTTTTTCTACAGCAGAACGCAGGCATTCCTTATATAGTATCAATGCTACCACTAAGTGAAGTACATAGCGTGATGCTATTGAAGAGATCAATCAATCCGTGACATCTGGTCTTAGATGTTCAACTTTTTGTCCTGTTGTTGTTAAGTGCCACTGAGTCGGTTCTGCCTGTATAGGCTTTCTGAGGCTATAGATCCTTGTGGGAGTAGAAAGACTCTTCTTTCTCTTATAGTAGTGCCTGGTGGGCTTGAACCAGTGACCTTGCGCTTTGCAGTCCAGTAGTAATCCTGCTGAGTGACTGTACTGTCACTCTTTCTTATCCTGATGCAAAAAGAAGATTTCAGTTTATTGTTAGAGCATCTATTTATTTTTGCTTGTATCGTCCTCTACTTTTTCATTATTTTTTATTGTTGTTGTTAAGTGCTACTGTCAAATTGGTTCCAACTTGGCGATCCAATATAGGTTTTCCAAGGAACTGCTGGTAGGTTTGAATCCCTGGCCTTGCGGTTTGCAGTCAAGTGCTTATATTAGAATGCTACACCGTGACTCCTTTCCATTAGTGCTTCGTTAGATGTCGTAATTCTGATTATTTTGAAATTTTCAACACTAAGTTATTATTCTTTCCCCTGCTAATAGCCCAAGATGTTTTAAAGAACATATGGTTAATGCTGCAATATAAACATGCCAACTGACCATTGAAAACTTACTTTGGGTATCCATGTTTCTTCTCCAGATTTTCCCCATTTCATCTAAAATTTTTTCTTAAGATTCCAGACCAAAATTGAAAAAATGACTAACCTCAACCAACTAACCAAGAATGAAGTATTCATGGCCTTTGCCTCCTATACGACAATCCTTATTTCAAAAATGATGTTTATGAGCATGGCAACTGCATTCTATAGAGTGACAAGAAAGGTAAGAAATTTGGAGGTAATATTTTCTTGCAGAAGTTGAAATTCTGGAAAACAATTTTCTTAATTGACATTTTTAGAATTGTTGTTTGTAAAGCCCATAGTACATTGTTTAATACAACGAAATGTATAATCCTGTGGTACAGATGGATCTGGTATATTTATGGAACGGTTGCTAGTAATTTTTTTCTTTCCATGTGGTTTTTACCTTTGTCATACAGCTTAGTAACAGAGATCTTTGGGTTATCATAATTTCAAGGAAACTGATTTTAGAGTCAATTTTAGAAATTAGAGTTAGAAAATAATTATTTTTAAAAACAGCTGGTGTTTTCATTTCCCTTTCAAGTCAATGAAGAGTATATGACTCTGGGGACAAAAAAAAAAAAAAATCAGCAAGAATTTAAGTTCTTATTTCCACAGCTTCTTATGATTGGGGCAAACCATGTGAATTCTGTACACTCCTTTTTAAAAAGACATAATTTATATTTGTTGTTGAAATTTTACACAGCAGAACGTACATGTACAATTCAGTGACATTGATTACATTCTTCAAGTTGTGCAACCTTACTTTCCATTCATACATATAAACTCACTAGCCCTTTGAGTTTCTGTTGTCAATCTTGATTCCCATATAGTTTCACAAAAGGTATGCTCAAGGTAGACATTTGTTACCAAGTAAGTTAAAGACAACCTGTTTAAAGACAACTTTGGTTATTTTTGGCTCAAAGTTTAAAGATTATCTCAGGACAGCAGTTTTGGGGAATCATCCTGTCTCAGTGATTTCAGAAAATCTGGATTCCATTAGAATCTGAAATTCTGTTCCACATTTTTCTCCCTTTTGATTTGGATATTCACTAATGGAGCCCAGCACCACTAAGTAGACACTACTATTTCTAACCACTATTATAAGAATGATTGTTTTTAAAATTGGAGAAATGGCAAAAGGGCTAGAAAGATTTTGAAATAAGGTTCTGTATTCAAACAGGGTTTATGGCATAGTGAGGAGTAGAGCAAAGTTAGACGATTTTTATGATGCAATCTTGAGCCTGTATAGCAACTTCTCTTGCTTGGAAATCACCTGTCTTCAGTTTTTGTCCTTTAGAGCATGCAGTACACCTGTAGAAAATAACTAGGGCTGTTGTTATTAGGTGCCATTGAGTCATAGCTACCCCATGTACAACAGAACGAAACACTGCACATTCCTGTGCCAACCTCACAATCATTATTACACGTGAGTCCACTGCTGCTGTCACTGTGTGAATCCATCTCGTTTGGGGTCTCCCTCTTTTTCACTGACCGTCCACTTTACCAAGCATGATGTCCATCTCCAGGGACTGGTTGCTCCTGATAATTTGTCCAAAGTATGAGAGACGAAGTCTGATCATCTTGGTTTCTAAAGAGCATTCTGGTTGTACTTCTTCCAAAGCAGATTTGCTTGTTCTGGTAGTCCATGGTACCTTTAAAATTCTTTTCCAACACCATAACTCAAGTGCGTCAAATCTTCTACGGTCTTCCTTATTCATTGTCTAACTTTCATATGAATACGAGGTTATTGAAAATAGCATGATGTGGGTCAGACACACTTTAGTCCTCCAACTGACACTTTGCTCTTCAACACTTTAAAAAGGTCTTGTGCAGCATATTTGCCTAATGTAATACAGTGTTGGATTTCTTGACTGCTGCTTCCATGAGTGTTGATGGTGGACCTATGGAATAAGACTTTAGGGAAGATCACAGTCTTCCTTTCCTTGGTGGGTGGTGGTTGTGTGCCATGGAGTCGGTTCCAACTCATAGCGACCCTGCATAGAGTTTCCAAGGCTGTAAATCTTGATAGGAGCAGAAAGTCTCATCTTTCTCCCATGGAACAGCTGGCAGATTCAAACTGTTGACCTTGAGGTTAACAGTCCAACTTGTAACCACTATGCTACGCTACCAGAGCCAGAGCTTCCCCCAAATATTTGCATTCTATTGGCGCCTGTGATGGTGGTGTGCTATGGAATCATTTCCCAAATGAGCTTGCATAGTATTTCTGAGGTTATAAATCTTTACAGGAACAGAAAGCCTCATCTTTCTCCCATGGAACGGCTGGTAGTTTCGAACTACTGATCTTGAGGTTAGCAGCCTGACTCGTAACCACCATGCTACCAGGGCTCCTAATGGTACACATACTCACATGTAAATTTCTTGTGGAATTGACTCTTAGTGGAGCAATATGCTGTAGCAGCCAGCTCCAAAATGGCCGTCAGCCATGAGGTCCACACTACACTTGAGAAACATACTGGTGCCAAAGAACAGGAATATATCTCTGGTTATAAAGAAAATAGAAGGGAATTCAAGTTTTGGAGTGCCCGTGATGTTTGCGTGATACTCTTTATATGTGGTAGTTCATTGAATCATTTTATAAAATCTTTACCAACATCCTGCCAGATGAGGTTTATTCTGTTCTATTTTGCAAATGAAAAATCTAAAACTAAGAGAAGTTAAGTAACTTTTCTAGGGTCATACCAGTAAAAGGGGAGATTCAAATCCAGATTTGTTTGAATCCAAGTCTCCTGCACTCTCTGTTGCAGTGCATTTTATTTTTATATTCAGAATGTATTAGCTGAACTAGTGTGTGCCAGGACTATACTTAGGTGCCAGTCAGGACCTGATATTAGATCACACCCTGTCCATCAGTTCTTCTCAACATCTTTATTTGCATTAAATGCTCATATACATGAGCACTTCCATAAAGTAGATTCCAACTCATAGTGACCCTGTAGAGGGTGTTTGAGGCTGTAAATCTTTATGGGAGCAGAAGGCCTCATGTTTCTCCCTTGGGACAGCTGGTGGGTGTGAACTGCCAATTTTGTGGTTAGCAGTCCAGTGCTCCTCCTACGGTGCCACTAGGGCTTCTTAACGTTAAGAACGTGTTGTAATATTTATAACATTTTCAAACTTCATGTTTTTCTTTATTATAAATTATTAAGCAGTTGCTTGCTGTAGGATCAGTGCTAGACTGTGAACTACAAGGTCAGCAGTTCAAACCCACCAGCTGCTCCTTGGAAACCCTATAAACGATCTCTAGGAGTCAGAACAGACTTGATGGCATTTAACAGCAATAACAACAGAACATACTTAAATTATTTGTAAATTGCATATTTCAGATTTCAAAGGATGGGAAAATAATTTTGAACAGTGTAATAATTACAGGAAGGACTTAATAAACATATGCTCTAGAAAAACACATACTTGTTATTTATAGGAATACAGTTCTGCTTGAGTTTCGGGGTATTAGTCAACTTCAGGTTTTAGCCAGTTGGGGGAGCCAGAGGTCTACATACTAACAAAGTACAAAATACTCTTCCTACCCAACCCCCCCCTTTTATTCTCTTCACCTGTTCTGTATTGCCCTTGACAAGTGAACTTGTTACTTTCAGGTGAATCAATCAGTTGATACACTTGTGGGAAGTTATGTTGATTATCTCTATGAAAAAGTTGCTAGTTCATCATTAGGATAATCAACAGCCAATAGAATTACACCCTTCTTCCAATTTTGCCTCTATTATACTATTTTTATACTTTGGTTTTTACTTAAGTTTTACTTTGATTCTTTTATTTTCATTGTTAGTAAACAAAACTCCTGTGGACTGTGATTTATTTTCATTAAAATGTAAGTAACTCATCATGTAGGATAGCCCCATGTTAGTAACTCTTTCTTGGTATTTGGAATAGGTTTTTGCAAACCCAGAAGACTGTTCACAGTTTGGCAAAGGAGAAAATGCTAAGAAGTATCTTCGGACAGATGACAGAGTGGAACGTGTACGAAGGTAAACCCACCGTCTCCTGTTATCATTTACTTTTGCAAGAATTTTGGTGAGGACATCAGGGTTTTGAAGATGAAGTCTTGTTACCTATTCTTTAGAAAAATTGCGGATATTATAGGGATTTGGAAGTCTCTAAATATCACTGCAATTGCACATATTGCCAATTTTGCAATACCTTTGTATTCTCATTGTGTTGTTGTTAAGTGCTGTCGAGTGTGTTCTGAGTTTTAGAGATCCTGTATAGAATTTCTGAGTCTATAAATCTTTGCAGGAACAGAAAGCCTCATCTTTCTCCCAAGAGGTAGCTGACAGGTTCAAAACCCTGACCTTGTGGTTTGATGTACGTTGCTTATGTGATAGAGCCATTGCATCCCCTGACTTTATATGGTTGCTGTTGGTGGTGGTGGTGTGTCTTCAAGTCAATTCTGACTCATAGTGACCCTGTATAGGGTTTCTGAGACTGCAAATCTTTATGCGAGCAGAAAACCTCATCTTTCTCTTACATAACAGCTGGTGTATTCAAACTGCTGACCTTAGGGATAGCAGCCCAACACATAACCCAATATGCTTCCAGGGATCCTTTGACTTTATATGTTGTTGTCATTGTTAAATGCTGACAAGTGAGTACCGACTCAAAGCGACCTATATAGGGTTTCCAAGGAGCTGCTGGTGAGTTTGAACCTTGAGGTCTGGCGCATTATTTTGCAGCACCACACCAAGACTCTATATAGGAATGCATTAAATTAATGGCGGGCAGGAGATACAACAAGAGAGGTAGCATCTTGCAATGCCATTGTCTTTATGAGATGAGAGACTAATGACTCTTGTAAAGGGTTAGAGAAGTGGATAGCTTTGCATAAAATTCCAAATATGAAAGACACTCTTTGGAAAACAGGGAAATAGATTTCTCTTTCCATTGAAAATATGGTTAATGTTTTGGGAATGCAATGAACAGTGAAAAGCAATAAGCAAGGATACCAACTCCACAGTCTCCAAACAATATAATTAATTTACTTATTTTATAAGTACATTGAAGTCAATTCTGGAGGTATATAGAAAACATGTAAATTGCAAAGCTTTTTTAATATTGAGATTCCATTAACAAATGCATTAGTCAAAATTCTGTACCATTTTCTCATTTAATATTTTCTGATGCTTCTCCAAACTGGTACATATTTCTAGTATAGGTAAAGTTACATAAAAATAAAGGATCAGTGAAGAGTTTTTATAGCCATACTTAGCTTTGTCATGAATAGTTAGAGCTAGAAAATATGAGTATAAAGATTATATTTGGGTTAACATCCTCAATTTAGTGAGTCTGAATAAATAGTGAAATTAGGATTTCTATTTATTACTTCTGTAATTTAGGTAACAGATTTCTGTTGCCTTTTTTTTTTTAAGAAAAGTATATTTTATTTGTTGTTGAGAATTACACAGCATATCATACATAAACCAATCCAACCTTTTCTACATGTACTTTTCTGTGACTTTGATTGTCTTTTCACACTGAGCAGCTAGTCTCATTCCCTTTTTCAAATTCTTCCTCCCCCATTAATATGAACTCACTGCCCTGGTGTGGCGCTGTGGGTTAATGCGCCAGACTGCAAAGCAGTTTGAACTGCAAAGTTGGTGGTTCAAGCTTACCAGCTGCTCCTTGGAAACCCTGTACAGGATCACTATGGATTGGAACTGACGTGACAGCACTTAAAAACAACTGCCCTCTAAATTTGTAGTCTGTTCTTTGAAGTTGCTATTGTCCATTTGATCTCATGTAAAATAGATCTTAATAGAACACAATTCTCAAAGCAGACAGTCTTTACTAGTTAAGCTAAACTATTATTTGGTTGCAAGAAGACTTCAGAGGATATTTTTGGTTTAAGACTTAAAGATTGTTTGGGGGATTCTTCTGCCTCTGTGGCTCTAAAAGATCTGAATTCCATAAGAATTTGAAATTCTTTGTTTTCCTCCTTTTTGATAAAGAGTCCTCTGTAGAATATTTGATCAAAACTGTCAAATAATTATAGCATCTGGTCACCATCCAGCTCTTCATTCTCATGGCAGTGGAGGCATTTGTTCACGGAGACAGTTAGCCACACCTTCCATTCTTCCTCTTTTTCTTCACACTCTGTTGATTCAAGTGAATGGAGACCCAGTTGTCCCTTCAACAGTCACTTGCAAGCTTTTAAGATCTTGGACACTATGCAAAAAACTAGGAAACAGCACAGAAGTAATAAACATAATATTAAGCCAAGTAACGGGCATGTCCCATGAAACCATTCCCCTGTACCACCATGGAGTCCTGGTGTGGTGCTGTGGGTTAATACACTGGACTGCAAGGTCAGTTTGAGTCACAAGGGTGGCAGCTCAACCTTACCAGCTGCTCCTCGGAAACCCTAAACAGGGTTGCTATGAGTTGGATCTGACTCAACAGCACTTAACAAACAATAACAACAACAATAATACCTCCATACCAAGAAACCAATTCCTTGAGATGTTTGGTTGTATATTAGCAGCCTTTAGCAGATGCTCTTTTTTTGCTGTAGCAAATATATTACTAACACAGTTTTTGCCAATTCAAAATTCAAATTTTTATAAGTACACTTCAGTAATGGGTGCAATTTTTATAGGTGTACAGTAAGTACATTGATGGACTGAGCAGCATTTACCTTTATCACATGTGAGCTTACCATTACCATAAACTGAAATCAGTGCTCCATCAAAACTAACCCCCAATCCTTACTCCCTCTTGGACCTCGTATCCACTATAAACTTTGTTCCTTATACATTTGCCTATTTTTCTCTTTATAGAAGTGAGAACATACAATATTGATCCTTTTGTGATTGACTTATTTAATGCAGCATGGTAGCTTTATGCTTCATTCATTTGGTAATATCTTTTATTGGCTGAGTAGTATTGTGTTGTATGTGTGTAGCACATTGTGTTTAATCATGCATCATTTGATGGGCTTTTAGGTTATTTCTACATTTTGACTATTGTGAATAATGTTGCAATGAACATTGGAGTACAAAGTTTGTTTTAGTCGTTGCTTTCAGTCTTCTATGTATATTTCTAGCAGTGGGATTGCAGAATCATGATAGTTCTCTAAGGTGAACTTGATCCAGGCATTAGTATTTTCAGTAGCCTTATATGCATGTGAAAGTTAGACAATAAATAGGAAGGCCCTAGAAGAAATTGATGCATTTGAGGTATGGTGTTATGGTGTTGGAGAACAATATTGAAAGTACCATGGACTGCCAGAAGAGCAAGCAAATCTGTTTTGAAAGAAATGTAGCCAGAATGCTCCTTAAAAACAAAGATGGCGAGGCTTTATCTCTCATACTTTGGACAAGTTATCAGTAGGGATCAGTCCCTGCAGAAGGGCAACATGCTTGGTAACGTTGAGGGTTAACGGAAAAGAGGAAGAACCCTAACAAGATGGATTGACCCAGTGGCAGCTACAGTAAGCTCAAGTATAACAACAGTAATGAACAACTGGGAAGTGTTTCTTTTTTTGCATAGGGTCGCCATGAGTTGGAACTGACTCCATGACACCTAAAATCAACAGCATGCTGGTTCTATTTGTTAGTTTTAGTCTTTATTATAAAATTGTATTTGTTGTCCCTTTTTGTATTATCTGTGAATGTCTGATACCTTCTCAAGATTTCTGCAGATTCTATAATGATTTATAGTGTGAGGACTAACTCTGAATCTGGATTCTTGCATTGGTATAGGTTTTTCATAGCCTGTGGTTTATGAACCTGGATGTAGACTCAGCCATTACTCAGGTTAACTACAAATCAGCTAAAAGAGTGTATGGATAAAATAGAATTGACTAAGTTGAGTGGGGATGAGTGCAGAAGGACATACACCATGGCAGCACAACCATTCCTATTTTTACATTGTTGTTGTTGTTAAGTGCCGTCGAGTCAGTTCTGACCCATAGCGACCCTGTACAGAGTTTCCTAGGGTGTAAATCTTTACGGGAATAGAAAGCCTCATCTTTCTCCCACGGAGCGGCTGGTAGTTTCAAACCGCTGACCTTAAGGTTCACAGCCCGATTTGTAACCACTATGCTACCAGAGCTCCTTACATCAGACCTCTGTAATCTTACAGTGCTGTCTCTCATCCCCACTCTGGAAGTTTATACTGTGCCTTCTTTAAGGAAACCAATCATTACACCAGGTTTGCTAACTCTCCTTTAGCCCTATGCCCTCTTCTTCCCTTCCAGGACCCAAATTAAATCCACTTTCCTGTTCATTCATAACAGATTTATCCCACGTTATTCAACAAGTAAGGAGATAGTTTTGTAAGAGGGAGTCTGTGTTAAATATTTAGAAAATAACTTTAGCTTCTGTTCCATTTAGTTTATATACTTGCTAATTTGGGAATCCTGGTGTGGTGTGGTGCTGTAGGATAAGCACTGGACTGGGAACTTCAAGGTTGGCAGTTCAAACCTACCAACTACTACTTGGAAACCCTATACAGGATCCCAGTGAGTCAGAACTGACTCGATGGCATATAACAACACCAACAGCTGAGTAAATCAGGTTTTAGCTTCCACACTAAGCGCTGTTGAGTCAGATCCAACTACTTCCAAAATCATTAGCCAATAAAAATCCTATGGATCACAATGGTCAGATCGCATTGTGCCGGGTGTTGCCGCAAGTTGGGGGCCAACTCAATGGTGGCTATCAACAATTGCATGAATTAGCCAGTCTTGAAGTGGGTTATGCTAAGACTATGAAGGTGAAATAGTTTCAGGACAAAGAAACAATATGAAACTTTTAAATAGTATTAGAGGGAAAATGACAGATGTTATAAGAAAGTATAAACATTAGGAAAGTGGAAAGAAGCTTTGTGAAGTTACCAAAACCACTATAGAGACACTCAGCAGTTTAAAGCTTTGTCTTGTCCATGCTGTCCTTCCATTATAGAACAATCACATACACGATGTGTATCATGACCCAACTCATCCAACTGAGAAGGACTTGAAAGTAATAGC